GCCGAGATCAGCGCCACCGTACGCTGAGACTTGGACTTGAAGACCACGGGCGCTTGTCCGATCATAACCATGATCCCCGACACCGAACGTCGGTCGTCGATATTACTGCCCCAATCCGCGTCCGTGTATGCCTCGACTTTCAGTTCACTTGCGCCCCCTTGGTAGACAACCCCAATCGCCTTCGTAGTCTTGAGGTAACGAAGAACGCGGATGGCCGCCTACCAGTGCTGTTTTCCTGGGTTTTCTAAGAACCTTGACAACTGCGTCACTACGTACGCAACGTCGGGGCGTGTACAAGTGGTGATGTACAACAGGCACCCGATCAGCGATCGGTACGGCTTCTTCCGCATCTCGTTTCTGCCCGCATCCGTGGTCGGCGATTGAAACTTCGACAGCTTGAGCCCGACTCGCACGGATTCTCCACAGCCTTGGCGTCCTGCTGATTGAAGCGCTCCACCACGTCGTCAATGTAGCGCGTTTGCTTGATGGTCAGTAAATTCGCTGACCTCTGGTGGTCGATTTTCATCCCCAAGATGAAATTAGCTTCGCCGAGCTCCTTCATCATAAACGCCTTCTTGAGTCCCAACTTGACGTCCTGAATTTCCTCGCTCGTCTTTGCCGCGATGATCATGTCTTCGACGTAAAGGCATACGTATATCAAGTTGCCCTTGCACTCTTTGACGTACACGCACTGGTCTGCCCCGCAGCTCTTGAAGCCAAGCTTCATGAGGACGCGATGGATCGTCTTGTTCCATGCGCTCGCCGCTTGCTTCAATCCGTAGATCGCCTTGTCGAGTCTGCACATGTAACCCCCGGCGTCTTCAATGCCATACGGCACCTCCATGTACACGCGTTCCTTGAGATCGCTGTTGAGAAATGCCGTGTCCGCATCCAACTGCTCTGTCACGTACTTCTCCTTCACCGTAACCGCCAACACCACACGAATCGAGTTCATGTTGGCCACCGGTGAGAAGGTTTCGAAGAAGTCTACGCCAAACTTTTGCTTGCAACCCTTCGCCACAAGCCGAGCCTTGTACCGAACCACTTGCCCATGCTCGTTCCGCTTCTTGGCGAACACCC